TCACTATCTGTCTGAATATCAAACATCTTAGGCATAACATGGAACAGGTATTTTTCATCAAATATTGATATATTGAATTTTAAGTCCCTACAGAATATGATTAAAACATTTAAAAAATTAAAATATATTTTAAATATAGGCATAAAGAATGATATAATTCTTATGTTTACACATAAGTCCAGAAATCTAACCATATGCAACTTTGTAGCAGAAGAGTCCTGCAACATTCCTTTTCCTGTTTCCTGCCTTCATTCACCACACATTCTTTTTGAACAGCCATCTATCCAAGACATAGCACAGCAACAACTAGCATGTCATGACATGCAGCCCGTATGCAGAAGACCAGAATGACAGGCACTGCAAGCATGAACCTACTATTACAAATTGTTGTCTTCAGTGCAGTTCCTTAGTTCACAGGTGTCAGTACATATAGTTAGTCAGGGTGAAAATCCTTCCAATTTAGTGCTAGATTCAAAAATCTTCTGAAGATTCTCAGGATCATTGCCTTACCCATCTTCTACATATAACTATATGTCTTTCCACTGTCATGTCACCTAGCTCTTCTCCTTTCCCTCTCTTGATTAGTTAGTCCTCAAGTACTTGCATTCCTTTTAGTTGTATTATACCTTTCTATTTGTATTTCTTCTTTTGAGTTCTTATACTAGGGAAACTATAAGATATTTACAGAAGTGTTTCTGGTTTATTTCACTTATGAGTATATCGTCAAGTGGCATCTACTTCAATATAGAGGCTTCAAGTTTATCATTCTTTATAGCTGAGTAATACTCCATTTTATAAAAATACCACACCTTTTTCATCCATTCCTCAGGTGATGAGTATCTTGGTTGTTTCCAAGATTTGGCTATCAGAAATTGTGCTACTATAAACATAGGCACACATATATCCCTATGATATGATGTTTTCAGATCCTCTGGGAAAATTCCTAGTAGAGGAATAGCTGGTTTAAAGGGGATTTCCAGACCAACTTTTCTAAGGAGTCTCCATACTGATTTCCATAACGGTTGCACCAGTCTACACTCCCACCAGCAGTGGAGAAGGGTTCCTTTTTCCCCACAGCCTCTCCAACATTTGTTGTTGGGTGATTTCTTTATGATAGCCATTCTTTCTGGGGTGAGATAATATCTCAAAGTTGTTTTAATTTGCATTTTGCGGATGGCTAGTGATGTGGAGCATTTTTTCATATATTTATTCGCTTTTTAATTTTGTCCTCTGAGAAGTGTATGTTCATCTCAGATGTCCATTTCTGGACTGGGTCTATAAATTTTGGGGTTCTAGTATGTTTTTTAGTTCCTTATAAATTCTAGTTAGCAGACCTTTGTCTGAGTGCTTCCTAGTTAAGATTTTTTTCCAAATTTGTGGGTTGCCTTTTCACTTTGTTGGTAATTTCTTCTGACATGAAAAAACTCAATAGGAGTAGTTTTTAGTTGTTAATTCTTTCAAGTGTTTACCATGCAATTTGATTTTTGTTCATGAACTCTTTGCCTACCCCTATGTCTTCAAGAATTCCTCCTACTTTTTCTTCCAGATTTAGTGTCTCTTTTAATGTTTAGATGTGTGATGCATTTTGACTTTAGCTTAGTGCATGGTGATAGACCTGGGTCAAGTTTGAGTTTTTGGCATGTAGTGAGCCAGTTTTTCCAGCACCATTTGTTAAAGAGGCTCTCTTTCTTCCAGTGAATATGTTTGGCCCCTTTGTCAAAGATAAGGTGG